ACTTCTCGAGGTGCTGGGCTGCCGGTCCCCTCCTTGTTCTTCCACTGACCTCCCTGGGCCGGCTCCCTCCTTGCCTCTCGTGTTCTCCATCCTGAGCAGCCCAGAAGGTGGAACTGATAACAAGGAAATTCCTTTTCCCTAATTGGAAAGTCATTTTTTTTTTGGCTGTATGTTGTTAAAGATCCAATAAAGTCATTAAAGTACCATAACACTATTTATTGAAACAACTTTTTCCACTGATATTGTTTGACACTATATACTTAAAAAAACTGTTTATTTGGTGCAGGGTCTCGCTATGCAGCTCAGACTCATAGTGATTATTGTATCTCAACTTCCCCAGTGCTAGGATTACAGGTCTGTACCACCACACCCAGTTTCCAGGGCTGGCACAGTGAGCCTGGGATTCTGGGGCCAGCACAGCATGCGGTACTGGGGATCAAACCCCTGTCCTTGCACTTACCAGGCAGGCGCTTATACTACAGAGCTGTCTCCCAACCCACTATATACTTTTAGACTACAATTTATTGAACATTTACTTTGTGGTAGCCACTAGTTTAAGCTCTCCGTTGTCATTCATCTGGGCGATAAGCTATTTGGTAACTTGTGATTGTACCCATTTTACAAATGAAGAAACTGAAACAAAGAGTGTAAGGGATTTGACTAAAAGTCATAGTATTTAAGAGAGGGGCTAGGTCTAAGTTGGTAGTTTTCTTATATGAAATACTTAAGTAGTTTTCTTGGGAGAACTGTCTTACCTATCACCTTCTCCCATTACAATAAAGCAATTACATTGCTTTATTCCTGTAACTTTGAATATTTCAATACATGGTAAGGCCAAGTTTGCTTTATCAATTTTTTCTCTGAATAGAATTTTAACCAAAGCTCTTTCTGGACTTAACAGAATAATTTTTTCTCTACAGCCCCAACAAATTGGCATTTTTATTGAAATTAACATTGAACATACTCATTTGTGAAAAGTATTTACACTTTGATATTTTTCCCAAGGAGGAATATACTATGTGATTTGATTCAAGTTGCTATTTTTGACTCTCTGCATTACTGAAGATTATTCTTTGATATTTCATTTCTTTGGCTTCTGTATGTTTAAGATACTACGTTGTCTAAAATATTTTGTTTACTTTTATGGAAAAAAGTTATGCTGAACTAAAGACTGCTCACCAGTTTAGGAAATAGTAAATAAGATTTTTTCTTTAATTTTGTATTTGTTTATTTGGTACAGGGTCTTACTATGCAGTTTGGACTGGTAGTGATCCTCCTGCCTCAGCCTTCCCAGTGCTGGGATTACTGGTGTGTGCCACTACAGTCAGTTTGGAGCCAGCACGGTGCATCTGGGGTTATGGGGTTGGCATGGCATGTGGTACCTGGGATTGAATCTGGGTCCTTGTGCTTGCCAGGCAGGTACTTAGACCACTGAGCTGTCTCCCTAGTCCTATGAATAATATTTTTTGGCGTGTTTCTACCATTTAGCTTGGGGCAAATTATTTAACTTCCCTGTGACCATTTCCTTATCTGTTAGGTGAATGACTTGAAATTCTATTTCCTCCTTCCTGTTCTTTTTTTTTTAGAAGATGAGACAGAGATGGACAGATATGTTTAGATTCAGTTCTGATTCACTTTGATATTCCAAACTGCCAGGCTTAGGTTTTGGGGCTTGTTTATATAGCCTTTTAAAATACCTTTTTCTTAGGGAATTTTATCTTTTATAAAGTCAGTATGCTGGGGCTTTTTGTTCATAGATGAATAAGGATCAGAGAAAGAGGCAGAGAGGAAAAAAAAAGAAAAACTGTCAGTCAGTTTTCCCTAAGGCACTTGTTTTAGGATCAGACAAGTTCAAGGGGAGAAAAGCTCTGGAGAAAAGCTCTGGCAGCTCTTCTCAAACTGAGAAGTCTGAGAAGCATAGCAAAGGTTACAAGCTTGAAAAGTAAAGGTCTTATTTATTGTAACGTCTGTGTTAAAATACGTATTGCTAAAAAAGAATTTATTAGGATATTGAGGATGACGTTCTTTAAACATTGTGCACACAAAATAACTTGATTTCTTCAGCTTATGTTGATTTTATTTTTCTCAAACTATGGAATAGCCAATTTTCTTCTTCTGTGTGTGACTTAGATTCATTTGCTTCTTGCTAAAGATGTTGCAATCCTGGTTATTTAACACGTACTCTAATTAACCTTAGTGGCCTAGAACTAATTTTGCAAATCTTTTCTACAGGATTTAAGAAGATTTTATTCATGTGCATGACATAGAAGATGAATTCTTCATCCTCCACCATGAATGAAGAACCTGATGCTCTATCAGTAGTTAACCAGCTGCGGGATTTAGCAGCAGATCCATTAAATAGAAGAGCTATTGTCCAGGATCAAGGATGTCTGCCTGGCCTTATTTTATTTATGGACCATCCCAACCCCTCTGTTGTCCACTCGGCTTTACTTGTAAGTTGCCTTTAGCATTTTCAGTCTCAGTGTTTTAGTTTCGCAGTAAAGGGATCTGAAAGTGTATTGGATGGCACAAAAGAATTAAGAGACAAGACCAAATAATAGTTTGTATTTCTGTATGTGAAACATACCGAAACTATAGTACATGAATAGTCTATTTATACAAATGGCAGCAGGCTACCTTGTTTTTATTCTGTAATGTAAGTGGTAGCATACTGCATACGGAAATTCTTCTACTATGTATTTTTAGTTAACAAGATAATCTATTTTGTTTGCTTGTTTTTTGTTGTACTAGGGATTGAGCCCAAGGAGCACTGAGCTCCATCTGCCACCCTTTTTATTATATTTCATGACAGGGTCTTGCTAAATTGCCCAGGCTGGCCTTGAATTTGTGAATCTCTTCCTCAGACTCCCAAGAAGAGGAGATGATAGGCACTTGTCATCACATCCAGCTCATTTCATTTTTGAGGTAGAATTCTCACTGTTGCTCAGGGTATTGACACCTTAGCCTCCTAAGTAGCTTAGACTGTATGTGTGTACCGCTATACCTAGTCATAACCATTTGTGTTTCTTTTGTGGTGCTGGGTATCAAACCCATGGATTTACAGATGCTGGGGGAACACTCAACCATTGAAGTATATCCTTTAGCCTGTTAGCTAAAAAGGAACCATGATAATGTTATCAGGTCAGTCTAGAGAGACGCTTCAAAAGGCACTGTATTGTTTTTGGTGCTGGGGCTTGAACCTAGGGCCTCATTCATGCCAGACAAGCATTCTTATCATTGAGCTGCATCTGTCGATGCTGGCCTCAAACTTATGGTCCTCCTGCTTTAGGGTCCTGAGTAGCTGGGATTATAAGTGTGTGACATTTCACCCAAGCTGGTTTTAGAACATTTTTATTACCTCAGAAAGTAATTACTTTTTATTGTTTGCTCTTTAATCCCACAACCTCTGTCCCTATACAAGCACCAATGTGTGTTCTGTCTGGTTTTGCTGTTCTAGCAAGAATGCAGATAGATTTTTCATATCAATAGAATTATGTAATATGTGGTCTTTTGTGACAAGTTTCTTTCACTGAACATGTTTTTAAAGTTTATCCATATTACAACATGTATTAATACTTCAATTTTTTGAGGCTGAGTAGTGCTCCTTTATATGGACATGACCTATTTGTTTATCCATTCATTAACTGATAGGTGTAGGTGTGGGACTTGTTACTTTGTTTATTTATTTTTGTATTTTAGTACAGGGTCTACAGGGTCTCACTACACAGATCAGACTCCTAGTGATCCTCTTGTTTTCAGCCTCCCAAGCACTGGGATTACAGGTATGCGCCACCATACCCAGTGTCAATCCCTGTCTCAGTGTGCCCCGGGGGCTGGGCTGGCATGGCATGCTGGGGATTGAACCCTGGTCCCTGCTTCTGCCTGAGCAGGCACTTTAGTCCGATGAGCTATCTGGCTAACCCGGGGCTTATTATTTTAATATGAGAAAGAAAGTTACAAAAATAGAGAAAGTCATAGCTAGCAATGCAGAAGGATGCTGGGCATGGTGGTACATGTGTATAGTATAAGCACTTTAGCGGCTGAGGCAGGAGGAGGATCTCCATGAGTTCGAGGCCAGCCTGAGCTACATAGTGAGACCATATCTCAAAAAACAAAACAAAGCAGAAGGGGTTATGTTATGAGTAATGTGGGGGCTAGAGAAACATGTTAAAGAACATAAGGCAACAAATACAGAATGTGATAGTTTCTTTTTTTTTTTTTTTTTTCAGAATGTGATAATTTCTTGAGGGCAAATAATCTGATTCCTTAAATAGTAACGGGCATTAAAAGCAACTGGCATCTAGGATGTAGAAAGTGATGGTAATAATAGTTATTAGGTTTAAAAAAATAATGGATTTTTAAAAGACAAGGGCCTATCCCATTTTGAATCTCGATTTTGGATCCCTGTCAATCCTGTTTTAGATCTCCATTTAAATAATTTTTAAGTAGCTGGAAATGAGTATGGATATTATGTATTGGAGAATCACTATTACTTTTGCAGGATATTATAATAGTAATACCATTAAATTCATTTAAAAATAACAAAATTTTCTAGGGATGATACATTGTCTTATTAGATTTTTTAATAGAACATTTTTGTCGGTATGAAGGATGAGGATAGATGAAACAGAATTGCTAGTTGACAATTGTTGAAGCTGCACAATGGGTGCATAGGGTTTGCCACAAATGTGTTCTATTCTTATGTGCTATAAAATTTTCACAACAAAAAAGTTTAAAAGAAAATTAACACAGTATGTTACTTGCTCTCCTTTACTTAAGGACTCATGATAAAGTCCCACTTAGTCCAATTTCAAAAATTTATACAAACCTGAGTTTTTTGTTTTGGTTTCATAGAGCAAAGTTTAATGGGCAAAAAAAGACATTGCTATAAAAGTGAGCTGGAGTAACAGATGAGAAAAATTGCCTGGTTTCTACTGTGGGTGCTGATTTAGGAACAAAGTAAGGAAGCAAAAGAGAGAAGCTTTGGTTTGTACATAGGAGTTTGGGGCTGAAGTAGTCTTTTTTATTTTTTTGTCATAGACTAGAATGTCTGAGCTCAAAAGGCAAGGGTAGCCAGAGAAGGAAATTTGGACTTCCTAATTCTTGAAAATAGGAAAGGTTGGGGCTGGGGAAATGGCTCAGTAGAATAAGTGCTTCCCTGGCAAGCGCAAGAGTCTGAATTCAGTCCCTGGTTCTGCCAAAAAAATAAAATAAAATACAATAGGAAAGGTTGCTGACTGAGAAAGATGGTAAAATTGGTTAGTACTAATGAGTACTAGTTTGTTTCATCTCACTGAATTGCTATATGACTTGGTCATGAAACACCCTTTTTTTCTTTTGGCCCAATACAAGCCCTAAGAGGCAAATAGTTGAATTTGTTCATGGTTGATATTTGGCGAGGTAAGCTGGACAGAATGATAACAGGAAGTTTACATGCAACAGAGTTGGTGAAATGTACTGTAGGTGCTAGACTGAATGATAAGAGGAAGTAAAATTATAGAGGAATGGAGAGCTAAGTAGAGCAATCAGTGGATAAAAGTTGCCAGTGAGATTGAAGAACAGATGTGGTGTTTTCATAATACCCTTTTATTGTCACAAGTGATTATTATGTATTTTGTTATTTTAATTTACTCTGTGTGTGTGTGTGTGTGTGTGTGTGTGTGTGTGTGTTTGTGTTTGAGATAGTCTCTCTGTGTAGCTCAGGCTGGCCTTGAGCTCACTTTGTAGCACAGGCTGTTCTCAAACTTGCAGCAATCCTCCTAGTTCAGCCTCCTGAGTACTGGGATTACAGGTATGCGCCACCATGCCCAGCCAGCTATGCATTTTAGTTTATCAACCTACCTTTAAATGAGTCATACATTTTATGTATTGTGTAAAAATACTAAAAGTATGTTTCCATTCCTTTCTCACATCTTTTGTTATATTTTATCATACATTTTACTTATAGATGTGTTTAAGCATCTACATTTACCGTACTTTGCTTTTCTTTAGTCAGTTATCTTTTGTTTGTCAAACTCTTGTTTTTTTGTATGAACAATTTTTTAATACTCCAAAGTAGAAATGATGCAACAGAAGCAACTTTTAATAGTATAAAGAGACATAAAGTGGGAATGCTATTGGCCACTGGGTGCTGCAAATAGGGCAAGTAACAGTCTGTGTGAGGCAGGCACTATGCAGGGAAAGGGAGGCAAGGTAGCACATTCTGGACAGATAGTGACATGAAACTTGTACTTGTCAGAGATCAAGTAACAATGTGCCTGGTGGTGTTTCTTTATTCTGTTGATCCACATATCTTATTTTTGTGCCAGTACCTTGCTGTTTTTATTACTATACTTTTGTCATGTTATTTGTTATTAATGTATTTGGTTGTTTTGAGACAGAATCTCACTGTGTATTTCAGGTTAGCCTTGGATTCACTATGTAGCCCAGGCTGGCCTCAAACTCATAGCAATCCTCCTGCCTCAACCTCCTGAGTGCTGGAATTATAGTTAGGTACCACTCCTGGCTGTAATATAATTTAAAATCTAAAATCTGGGATTGTGATGTCTCCTCCTTTGGTCTTACTTTCCAGGATTGCTTTTTTGCTATTCTGAGTCTCTTTAGGTTCCATTTGAATTTTAAGGTTGTTTTCTGTAGTCTGTGAGGAATGCTATTAATATTTTGATTGTGATTGTATTAATTCTGTATGTCAGTTTTGAAAGTAAGGATATTTTGACTATTGATTCTATCTCTTTAGGAGTGCAACTTCTGATCTCTTTTTCAGAGTAGTGTAGTTTCATTGCAGTGTTCTTTCACTTCCATAGTTACATTAATTCCTAAGTATTTCATTTTTCTTGATGCTATTTTTTTTTTTTTTTTAAATTATTTTGTGTGTGTGTGGCCAGCTCAGCCCACCAGGAGGCGGGGCTGGCTGGCATGTGGTGCTGGGGGATTGAACCGCGGTCCCAGTGCTTTGATTAGCTTAGCTTGTTTTATTTTGTTTTTTTTTAAAGTAGGTGCTTTAGACCACTGAGCCATCTCACCAGCCCCTTCTTGATGCTATTGTGAGTGGCATTTTTTCCTAATTTCTTTCTCAGTAAACTCATTATTGATGTATAGGAATGCTATTCATTCTCGTTTGTTAATTTTGTATCCTGCTATGTTGCTGAGTTTGGTTATTCTAGGAGTCTTTTGGTGATATTTTTTAGTTTGAGGATCATATTTGCAAATAATTTTATTTTATCCCATTTGTATACATCTAGTTTATTTCTTTCTCTTGCCTGATTGCTCTGTTTTAAAAACTGCATTGGATAGGAGTGATGATAGTGGACATCTTGTCTTATTCCTGGTTTTAGAAGGAAAACCTTTAGTTTTTCCTCATTTAATAAGATGTTAGCAGTTGGCTTGTCATAAATGGCTTTTATCAGATTGAGATAAGACCTTTATACTTATTTTGTTCAGTGTTTTTATCATTAATAGCTGTTGGATTATTTCAAAGACTTTCTGCTTCTAATGGGATGATAATCTTTTGTCATTCTGTTTATGAAATATGTTACATTTATTGATTTGTACGTGTTGAGCCACTCTTGCATTCCTGGGATAACACCTACTTGGTTATTTTTATTTTATTTTTTTCCCATAATTTTATTGAGAAACAAATAGCAATGAGACAGTTTCAAATCAAATTGGTAGGACAGTTCTACTAATTAACACATTGCATACTCTCTTCCTAGTGGTTATTTGCTGTACAAGATGCAGACATGATATCCTATGTACAAACACTATTAGAACAAATCCCTCTATTTATTAAGAGAATGTAACTGTATATGGATCCTAACCATTTTGAATGCACAGATACAAAATGGACATTCATCTGTATCCCCTTTTTCTGTTTAATTCCGTTATTTGAATATTAAAGGTGTGTTAACTCAGCAAAATATTATAGAAGAGACCAGTAGTCCATAATAGTATTGGGCCTGCCACTTGACTCTCAATGTCAGAAATTGTTGACCTGAGTCCCCTACAGCTTAACATAACAGCATGACTTTACTTTTTATACTTCGTTTTTATACTTTTCTGTTGGATGGTTAAGACCAAGATAAAGCAAGACCTATGCAACAAGAGTTGTTGCTTTTGGATCTAATATGGGCAGTGAAATCCCCTCAGGATTTATCCTGAGATCCTGTACCTCAGATTGGAGATTCTTTGTCAGTGTCAGCCATGTGGATGAGTCACGGCCATGGCTTGGCCAATGTGCTCTCTGGGAAAGCCTGAGAGAATGTTTTCTCTCCATGTGACTCTCCTTAGGACCTACTTGCTTATGATTTTTGATCTTTTTGAAAGTTTGTTGTATCCCATTTGGTGCCTGGTAATTAATTTCTGTCTGTCTGTCTTTCTGATGTATTTAGTAGAGAGTCAACAGGGTTTCACTACACAGATAGGACTCATAGTGATCCTCTTATTTTCAGCCTCCCAACCAAGCGCTGGGATTACAGGCATGTCCACCATACACAGTCTCAATTGCTGTCTCAGCTTGCCCTGGGGGTGGGGCTGGCAAGGCATGCTGGGGATCGAACCCCAGTCCCTGTGTCTGCCTAAGCAGGTGCTTTAGTCTGCTGAGCTTTCTGGCTGACCCTGTTGCCTGGTAACTTCGAATGAGCTGCCAGCTAAAATGTTTGTGAATTTGGGGATTTTGTTTTTGTATTCCTCTAAATATTCTTGAACTTTATTTTATTTTTCTGATAAATAGGACTAGTTTTGATTCTTGTCGTGGGCTTTTTTAGGGTGGAGCCAAATCAGCCTATTTTGCATGGTATCTTTACTGCTTATGTGAAGCTCTTTTGAGGGTTCTTCCTGATGCCCCCAAGTGGGGACATCTTTATTATACCTTTGGTTTGTAGCATCCCAATGTGTTCACAGCCTGTTGTGAGTTCAGCATTTATTTTCCCCACTTTCTGGTAGTTTTATTCTTTAGGCATGTAAATTTTTTATCCCAGGCATGCATAGATCAGTATTCAAACAGATTCTTGGACATCCCTATGTAGATCTCTGGAATTCTAGCCACTCCAGCTACTTCACGTTTGATCTCTGCCTCCTGAGTCTGACAGGACATTTAGGCTTTATTTGGGTTGTTCTGTCCTGTGCTACAATCTGGAAATGTCTTCAGTAGCAGGAAAATGGAGTAATTATAATACCTACCTCACCATTTTTCCTTTCATGGTTTATAGTTCTATATTGCTTCTTTCTGTTTTTTTTTTTTTTTTTTTTTTTCTTTGAGACAGGGTGCAATGCAGACTGGCTTTGAATTCACTTCTAAAGCTCAATCTGGCCTTAAACTCAATCAATGGGTGAACCTTGTGCCTCAGGTCCCGAATGCTGGTATTACTGGTGTGTGCCTGGCCCTATATTTTCTCTTGACCAGTATATCTGAAAATGAACACTTGATATATGTTGTCCTGTCTGTTAGGTTTTTAAGAAGGAGGGCAGTTGCCATAGGAGTTTTGGGGCTGAAGTGGAGGTTATAGTAAGAGTAATGTTTGCAGGAATGAGAAGAGGTTGTTGGGTTTGTGACTTTATACATGACACATTTTTTGTAAGCACCAGCACTCTGGAGTGGATGGTAGAAGATCAGTAGAAATGTGAGAGATCTCTGGGCTGAGATGCAGTTTGGAATGGTGTAGTCCCCAAGACATTCCCCTAAGTATCAGGTGTGATGATGGATGAGAAGCTTTGTGGAGGACAGCACTACTCAGGTGTAAAGGGAGCTAGCTAGAAGATACTGCTAAGAAGCAGCTTATGAAAGAAATAGTTGCAAAACATTTTAAGTACATAAGAAAAAAACATCTTAGCAAATTGAGTTTAGCTCGCAAAATAGAACATTTGTGACCATTAATTTCTTTTTTTCTTTCAAAAACATGTTTGTTTGTTTATTTATTTATTTATTGGATGCAGGGTCTCATTATGCTGTTCAGATTCGTAGTGATCCTCCTGTCTCAGCCTCCCCACCACTGGGATTACAGGTGTGTGCCACTACTCCCAGGTGCAGGGCCACAGCACAGCATGCAGTACTTGGGCTTCAAATTGTGGTCTTTGTGCTTGCCAGGCAGGTGTTTGGACTGCTGAGCTATCAACAAATTTTTTTAAAGGTATAGAAAAAAATAGAATCAATTCATTTTATAAAGATGTTATAAAAATGGTTTATACATTTTATAATGTGTAAAAAGCATCTAGGGACCTGGTGGCTATTGGTGTTGTGACTACTTGAAATTAATAAGTGGACTATAGTTCTTTGTTTGTGTCCTTGTCAAGATGAAGTGGTAAAAATAAAATCAGAACAACTTAGTTCTGACCTTGTAGATAAGCTAGAACCTTCATTTCAAAGAGCAAAGTAAGCTGCTATAACTCTGGTCATTTCTCCATTAGGAGGTTGTCCAGATTATCGCTTTTAAAGAAGAGATTCAAAACACTTCAAAACCAGTGAATCTAAAAGTATAAACTGTTTTTTATTTCTTCTTGCAGTTAGTGGTTTTAATTTTGAATAATATGAACATGTATCCTGTTGTTTCCTGCTGTAGGCTCTTCGATACTTGGCAGAATGTCGTGCAAACAGAGAAAAGATGAAAGGCGAATTGGGTATGATGTTAAGCTTGCAAAATGTTATACAGAAGTAAGTACAGTAGATAGTGACCCCTATTGTGGTAAAAAATGGGTCTTATTAAATATAAAGTGTTAGGATAAATTTATTGAAGATTCATGTGTTTTTGTTGTTTTGTGCGATAGTGGCTTGCTTTGTTGCCCAGGATGGCCTCACACTTGGGGTATTTCTCCTGCTTTAGCTTCTTGAGTGCTGGGATTATAAGCATGTGCCACTACTCCAGACTCTGTTTTCTTATTTGATTTAAAAATTTTTATTTTAATTATAGGTATCCTTCTTGTTTGTTTTTGAGACATGATCTCATTATATAATTCAGGCAGTCCTTGCACTCACTAGCCCAAGTTGATCTCATACTTGTACAGATCCTTCTGCCTTAGCCTCCCAAGTACTGAGATTATAGGCATGTACCACCATGCCCAGCTAGGCATAGTTAGACATATAGGTTATGTGTCTAAAAATGTTTTGATGGTAACTCTTAAGGTTATTGATAACATTGATAATAATACCCTGATAACAGTGTTCAGATTTTATTATATTTATTTTGTACTTAGGATTGAACACACAACCTTCACATTGAGCTATATCCTCAACCTTTATTATTTTTTTTTAAGAATTTTTTTTTACGTTTATTTTTATTTTTTTGGTAGAACTGGGGATTGAACTCAGGCCCCCGCACTTGCCAGGCAAGCGCTTATTCCACTGAGCCATCTCCCCAGCTCTATTTTTTGTTTTGAGGCAGAGTCTCACTAAGTTGCCCAGGTGGGACTCAAACTTCTGCTCTTCCTTAGTCAGCATCCCACAGTTCTTGAATTATAAGCATGCCCTACCACACTCAACTTTAGATTTTATTTAAAATATGCTTACTAGCATTAATTCGTATAAGTTTTTTATAAAAGAGCATTCTAATGTAAGTTTTATTGTGTGTAAGTAGCAGAGCAACATAAATGTCTAATCACGTTTGATGATATGCAGTATTATATTATAGTATAATTTTTTTGGTTAATTGGTCCTGATTTTTACTTTTCTTTTTTTTTTTTTTTTGTGGAACCGGGGATTGAACTCAGGCCCTTGCGCTTGTCAAGGAAGCACTTATTCCACTGAGCCATCTCCCCGGCCCATGATTTTTAATTCATCGTGATTTTACTCAGAGTAATCATCACGATCTTGATAATTAAGTTTTTTTTTGGTGAGATTTTCATGAACCAATGCCTTAAGACCATTAATTTGATTTTTTAAGCAAATAGAAGCATTTTGCTGGGCTTGGTGGTGCACATCCATAATCCTGGCCATTTGAGAAGCTGAGGCCACCCAGGACAATTTGTTGACGTCCTATCTCAAAATGAAAAAGCCAATAAAAATGGCGAAGATAAAGCTCTGTGTAAGGCACTGCGTTTCATCCTCAGTACAATGAAAAATAAAAACAAGCAAGTGGTTTGTGTATTGTTTAACAGCATAGTCATTGAAGTTGAAAGTAAGTGGTCCAAATAAATACAGGAAATTAGATTAAAAAATAATGCTGGAATGTTAAAATATATTTTACAGTTGAGCTTGAAAATTTTAGAATAAGCCTAAAGGTACCATAGATTTAACTTATAAAACAATTGCTTAGCTTGTTTGATGCAAGGATGTTAATTATGTGTACTGGTATCCATTGATAAAGTAGGGAGACTGTTTTCATCCTTTTAAGAGACCTGCTGTCAGTTCAAGGCATTATCTTAGCAAATCATAAGAGAAGAATCATCCTAAGATTGAGTTAGAAATGAATGAGGGATATATCTGTACATACAAAATAGTTAGCATAGATATACAGCTACTTTCAGTTCAATGAGAAGAAAGTTTTGAACTAATAGTGTGTAGACAAGATATCATGTCTGTATTTTATACTATGAATAACTAAAAAGACAACAATATGCAATGTATTAATTATTGTAACTGTCCTACTAACATGTTTTGAAACTGTTTCATTGCTACTTCTTTCTCAATAAAATTAAAAAAAAAATGGATGAGGTTTCCAGGGTGTGGTACCTGAGGCTTGTGTAATGTAGCATTCAGGAGAGGCAGATGAGCTCTGTAAACATGAAGCGAGTTGAAGCAGATTTGGGCAGGAAAAGTTACTAGCCAGTTGCAGGGCAGAGCTGATGTCTGTGGAAGAGAGAAAAGGGGTAAGGAGAGTTTCCATTTACGGTATCCATCTAATGTGGAACCGTAAGCACATACTGTCCTTTAGAGCATTTTTGCTTTGAACAGAAATTTCCAGACCCTTACTACTCTAGGAGGAAAACTTGCTTAGATTTGTGGTGGATCTCAAAGCTGCTGTAGCAGGTGAATGACTCTGGCAGGGCAAGTCCTCCTTGGAGATTCCAGCATGGCTTCTGCAAGTGGCTTATTTTATTTTATTTTTTATTTTTTTTTGGCAGAACTGAGGATTGAACTCAGGCTCTTGCACTTGCCAGGGAAGCGCTTAATCCACTGAGCCATCTTCCAGGCCCCAAGTGTCTTATTTTAAAATTGAAATGAAGTATATATTATTAGAACAGTATGGTGATAATTTGTTGTTTCTCCAACAGTAAAAGAAATAAGGCATTCATTGTGTATTTCATTATAATTTGATCCTGCAACCCTATTAAGAATGTAGATAAGGAAAACAGAAGGATCACTATGAGTTAGATCTACTTAGTGAGACCCTGTAGACCCTATACTAAATACATAAAAAAAAAAATGACTGGAGATATAATGTAAGAATTTTATATATATTTTGCAGTTCATTTGGCAACTGCAGATCTCAGATTTGAAGGTTGCCTTTCAAGCTTAACAGGCAAACAACAATTATAGGAGCTCTACACTTAAGTCATAGGATAAACTGTGTGAGATCCTGTCTCAAGAAACCAAAAAAAAAAAAGAAACAAAAAAAAATTTTTTTTTTTTTGAGATTGGTTAAGCCGGGTTGGTGAACATAACAAGTTGCCAGAAGAGTGGCATGCTAGAGAGCGTTGCGAAGCTCCATGTACCCCAATGTACCTTCTGAGAACTGCAGTTATTTTCAGTACCAGGGATCAAACTTGGGACCTTAAACTTGCCAGGCATGTGCTTCTGCTGAGCTATCTCCCTGGTCCATGGTACTTATCCCCCTGTGTAACCTTCTTCTTTTACCTTGGTTGTTCTTGAGTTCTACACTTCCATTCCTTTTATATTTTGGATCTTGTTAAATTATCCAGGCTGCACTTGAGCCTAGTATTCTGTCTTGCTCTCCTAACTTTTTAATTAAAGTAGTATGAGCAACCTCTGAAGCTTTACAGGTTATTGTAAGTATGCGTAGGGCTGGCCAGATAGCTCAGCAGAGTAAAGCACCTGCTTAGGCAGACAGGGCCTGGAGTTCAATCTCTGGCGTGCCATGTTGGCCTTGCCCATGAGGCACACTGAAATGGCGATTGAGACTGGGCATACTGGTGCTGCCTGTAATCCCAGCACTTGGGAGGCTGAAAACAGGAGAATCACTACAAGTCCGATCTATGTAGTGAGACCCTGTAGACCCTGTACTAAATATCTATCTATATATGTGTGTGTGTGTGT